CCAGTCGACAACGGAGCCTGGCAGATGCAGCCTAAGGGATCCCATCCTGGGGCTCAGAGCTGAGCAGTGGAGGGCAGAGTGGATGAGGACAGCAGGGTTAGAGGAAGTAGACAGACAGTACCCAGCAGGTTAACATTATTAAGTCTGTTATGAGGACAAAAATGATGTGTGCAAAACACTTAGTATGTAGCTTGACGCATAGTAGGATCTCAACAAATGGAAGCTATTGTATCATTCTTGGTCTCTTTAATGCAATTATATATCCATGTTTTTCTTCACTCAACAAGCCTGTTAAGTACTCCTTGGACGCCTAGTGTGTGCTGTGTCCTTGTGGAGATACAAGCAGTAGTGTGGCTCTGCGACTGCCTTTGGGGAGATAGGACATGGACGTAGATCCCCATGAGACGTGGCAGGGGCCTCAAAGGACCTCAGCCTCTAGTTCTTTTTTTCTTTTTCTTTTTTTTTTTTTTTTTTTGAGACAGAGTCTCGCTCTATCACCAGGCTGGAGTGCAATGGCGCGATCCTGGCTCACTGCAACTTCCATTTTCCAGTTTCAAGCAATTCTCCTGCCTCAGCCTCCCGAGTAGCTGGGACAACAGGCACACACCACCACACCTGGCTAATTTTTTGTACTTTTAGTAGAGACGGGGTTTCACCATGTTGGCCAGGATGGTCTCGATCCCTTGACCTCGTGATTCGCCCGCCTCGGCCTCCCAGAGTGCTGGGATTACAGGCCTCAGCCACCATGCCTGGCCCTTTTTCTTTTTCAATACTTGTAAAAGCTCTTTCTTTTTCCAACCGGATTCCAATTAGAATGCAAAGCACCTCACGCATACTGCCAATTACATGCTTTTACCTGCATTAAGCACTAGGCTGAACACACAGTAGACCTTTCCTGCAGAACACATGAAACTTGCACAAGAACATAAAGAAGAGAATGACATTAGCACTGTGCCCTCTCCAGGGATGAGCACTGTTAATATTTTTGTGAATTCCCCTACTTCTGTGTATTCCGTTTTGCAGCGTTGGCCTCACACTAGACAATTTCATAACCTGTGGGTTTTTGTCGTTGTTGTTTTCTTTTTCACTTCTTTCATAAGCATTGAAATCATTCCAAAAATAGCTTTTAATGGCTTCATAAGAGTAAATCACATGTTTGGGACTATAAACTGAAAATCAGCAGACTGACTTCTAATTGCAGCTTCATCAGTTATTAACCACATGACAACGACAAGTTACTTTTTCTGAGCCTCCGCTTCTTCCTTTGTAAAGCGATGTGGGAGGGAAGATAAAGCAGGCACCTTATACAGTTGTTGTAAAGAGAAATGAGATAATTATGTGACTATTAGCTTCATGTCTGGGACATGGTAAAGAACTAAATGGTAGTTATCATAATTGCTGTTATTAGTTCATAGCTGTCCCTCTATTACTGAATGTTTCAGGTGTTTTCAGTTTATTTTTAAACAAATATTAGGACATTTTTTGACTTAAATCTCTTTCCAGAATTCAACTTTTTCCTTAGAGTATATAAAGCTAGTGGTCCTGGGAATAAACATGTAAAAAGTTCAAGTTCTGGAGTCAGGCTGCGTGAGCTGACGTCCCAGCCATACACGACTTAATAGTTTGTGATCCCAGAAAAGGCACTTAAATGCTCTGTGCTTCAGGTTCCTCTTCTTAACATGAGATAATAATAGTGTCATTTGTTGGCAGGTTAAGTGAGATGATAGATGCAAAGCATCTCACGCATACTGCCAATGACATGCTTTTACCTGCATTGGGCACTAGGCTGAACACACAGTAGACCGCCAATTAATACATATCATATGAAACTGAATGAAGATTGGTTACTATGAGTGTTCCTTGAGTTCTCTGGAAGATGTCCTGTCTCCTCATAAGGAGGTTGACCCAAGGCCAGCCCTTCCACGTCTTACCCTCTTCCACCCTTTGGAAAGAACCTTTGGCAACTTCTTTCTTTGGAAACTGCCTTTGGAAAGCACCTTCCTTTTTGTCTCATTTTGACTTATAACACTGTTTGCTTGTTACAGTTTCCTTGACCAACTCCTAGATAGTGTAAGACCTCTCCAGAGGCTTCTGGGATGACAGGCTAAGTCCATTTCTCCAATGGTGCCACCCAAGAGTTTAGGGACCCTTCCCAGGACTTGTGCCTATAGCTCTTTTCTTTCTTTTTCACCCACAGCCTCTTTTGTTGTCTTGAGGGCATCAAATTACTTTACCTCAGGCTTAGGATTTGAGCACCTATTGTATTACAGCACGGGTCCCCAACACCCGGCCACAAACTGTGGCCCATAGGAACTGGGCCACATAGCCAGAGGTGAGTGGCGGGTGAGCAAGTATTATGTCACCTGAGCTCTGCCTCCTGTCAGAGCCGTGTGGGCGTAAGATTCTCATTGGAGGTGGGCGCGGTGGCTCAGGCCTGTAATCCCAGCACTGTGGGAGGCCGAGGCGGGTGGATCACGAGGTCAAGAGATCGAGACCATCCTGGTCAACATGGTGAAACCCCGTCTCTACTAAAAATACAAAAACATTAGCTGGGCATGGTGGCGCGTGCCTGTAATCCCAGCTACTCAGGAGGCTGAGGCAGGAGAATTGCCTGAACCCAGGAGGCGAAGGTTGCGGTGAGCCGAGATCGCGCCACTGCGCACCCCACTCCGGGTTAAAAGAGAAGAACTATTCTTTCTCTAAAAAAAAAAAAAAAAAGATTCTCATTGGAGCGTAAAAATCCTGTTGTGAACTGCACATGATAGGGATCTAGGTTGCATGCTCCTTATGAAAAGCTGATGCCTGATGATCTGAGGTGGAAGAGTTTCATCCCGAAACCATCCCCTCTACCCCTACACTGGTCCGTGGAAAAATTGTTTTCAACAAAACCCAACCCTGGTGCCAAAAAGTTGGGGACTGCTGATGTGTAGGGCACCTATAGTAAGTACCAGATACGACGTGAGCTAGCTCTTACCTAAAGCAGAAAACTCTTGGCCTACAAATCAACTCAGTCTTCGGCTCTTGTTGTGAACATAAATAAACATTCAGTGCTTCAGAGATAACCCCTTTAGTAAACCCAAGAGATATCCCCACTCACATGAGTAAATTAAGCACAAAATTCAAATGGGAAGATCCATTTATGCCAATTAATTACACAATAGGATTGCATAATTAATCTAGAAACTCAGCAATACAGGTATACCAGGACACTGGAGCTGGCATGTTAGCAAAACAGCATTGGCAATCCCCTCCACTGGGCTTGCTGTATAGATACCAACCTCCAGCAGAAATGGTACCATGTGGGAGTTAGTAGATTGATTGATGAAGAGATGAATTTCAACATGCTGGGTAAAAGGGATAGATGGCCAACTGCCTAGTAACCATGATCTAATTTTTTAAAATTCTCTTACAACAAAGCTTGAAACTCAGGTCTTGAATCCTCGTGGGTGATTTCTGTCTAGATGTTCATGCACATTGTGATATGTCACTCCCAAACAAACCATCAGTTCATTCATCCCACAAAAGTTTATTAAGCGCCTACTGTGTGCAAGGCACTGTTAGGATTCATGGATTAATCAAAACAGAAAAGGCAAACACACAGCAAGCATTCCATAAATCCCTTATCCTTTGCCCAGGGGAGACACGCATCTTGCCACAAGCCTGGACATGGCCTCAGAATCCATCTCAACACAGGACTCCGGGCAGTTATTATCAATCAAATGGAATTAACGTGCCATATTCAACCTGTTTGCAATCTTGGAGCTATAGAGAATACGGATACAAAAGAACCCAGGAGGTCAAGGCTGCAGTGAGCTGAGATTGTGCCACTGCACTCCAGCCTGAGGTGACAGAGAGAGACCCTGTTTCAACCAACCCCAGCCCAAAACAAAAACAAAAATCCATGCTGGTCTGGAAGTTGGACCCTGTATCCAACCCTGGGGAACCCACTGGGGGGAATATGGAGACAAGAGAAAGAAGTCCAAGCAGCAATCAGTCATCTTGAAATGAGGTAGGATAATTTTCAAAACAGCTCCATAGCTATGCAACCACACAAGCTAAGCCAACACCATCTAGGGTAAGGGACACTAACAGCCCACAGGCTGCTATTTGACCTTGAGGAAGTCACCTTGCATGTATGTGAGCTCCAGTTTTCTCATTTATAAAATGGGAGTGATCATCACAATGCCTACATCACAGGGCTGTGGTAAGTAAATGAGATGACGCAATGTATTCAACAATGCAACGTAGTTAACATTTAATGATGCAACGTATTTACCAATGTCTGCCTAATAGTAAGCCATTGGCTTTCAACAACTAAATGTAGAATTTATTAAGTAAAGAAGAATAAAAAAAATTATCTGTTTCCAACCAACCCATCAGTAGGAGGACATTCTGGACATTTGATAAAACAGAAAGTTTTCAGGCCCAAGTTCTAGAACTGAAGTTATTTCCATTAGGAAATGTGCTCATTAAACCTTACAGAGCTTGTTTCCAGGAACTGCCACAATATAAACACTTGGTCATTAGGGCATATATTGCTTAGGTGGAGCTCTGCCCCACCCTGAAACACACCCCACCAGACAGAGGCAATGGTGTAAAACGGCAGTGTGTTCTCTCTTGCCTTGTCAAATGTCCAAAAGGCATATATTCTTTGACTTATGAAAGGAGACCCTTGCCAAACACACAAAATACTACAACAGAACTTGCATCTAGAAATCAGGGAGAGTGTCAGATATCCTATACTCTTATTCTGCCTTCTTTTGTTGGCAAATATTTATCATAATTACATTACAAACACAATATAAGTCCTGTGCAGACATCTAGGAAATACAGAGAAGACAAACCACTATTTAGGAGCCAAAAAAATGTTGTTAACATTTTGATATCTAGCTATCCAAGCTTTTCCCTCTAGATGTTTAAATTTTAAGAAATTAGAGATTTTTAAATTTAAAATCTCTGCTTATCAAATTATTTCTCTCTTTCTCTCTCCCTCTCTCTAGTTTATCATTACAACTTCAAGATCCATTTCATCAACCAAAGTGAGAAGCCAACACAAACAACTTTTACCATGTCACTACTCGGAACAAAAGAGAAAATGCAGAAAATTCCCATCACTCTGTGAGTAGGAGGTGTAGTCCCCTAGGGTGATGACATGCTTATTTTTCTTGCTGAGTATAAATGGACTCTGTAATTTTCAAGGATCAGGCCAGCCATAGCTACTTGATTCCAGATGTAAACCAAAAAGCATCTGAGACAAGTCTCAATCAATTTAGAAGTTTATTTTGCCAGGGTTAAGGACATACCCATGACACAGCCTCGGGAGGTCCTAATGGCCTGTATCCAAGGTGGTCAGGCTACGGCTTGGTTTTATACATTTTAGGAAGACATAAGACATCAATCAATACTTGTAAGATGTACACTGGTTTGGTCCAGAAAGGTGGGACAACTCAAACTGATTTGGGGATGGGAGTGCAGGGGAACTTCCAAGTCCTGGGTACATTCAAAGATTTTCTGATTGGCATTGGTTGAATGAGTTTATCGAAAGATCTAGAATCAATAGAAGGGAGTGTCTGATTAAGATAAGGGGTTGTGGAGACCAAGGTTCTTATTATTCAGATGAAGCCTTGAGGTAGCCAGCTTCAGAGAGAATTCATTGTAAATGTTTCTTATCAGACTTAAAAAGGTCCCAGACTTAGTTAATTCTCTCTTGGATCAGTGAAAAGACCTGGAAAGGGAAGGGTATTCTCTACAGAATGTAGATTTTCTCCCCAAGAGACAGCTGTTCAGGGTCCTTTCAAAATATGTCAAGGAAATAGATTTTAGGGTAAAATAGTTCAATTTCTTTCAGGGCCTGCTGTCTGTCATGTGATGCTAATACTGGAGTCAGGCTGGAATTTGGTGTCTTATTGCTACAAAAAGTCTGCTTCATCCGTCTTAAAATCTGTGTTTTAATGTTAATGCTGGTCAGTTGTGCCTGAATTCCAACGGGAGGAGACTATAATGAGGCATGTCCCCCATCTCCTCTTCTCATCATGGCCTGAGCTCATTGTTCAAGTTAACTTTGGAATGCCCTTGGCCGAGAGGAGGGGTCCGTGAGATGGTTTGGAGGCTTAGAATTTAATTTATAGTTTACACGGGCTTGAGCTTTTGAAAAGCAGTCATGCACAGGGCACTGTGGTAGGTGCCAGATACTACCTGAGCTAGCTCTTGCCTAAAGCACAAAACTCTTGGTCCACGAATCAACTCTTAGTATTTGGTTCTTCTTGCAAACATAAATAGATATTTGGTGCTTCACAGACAACCCCTTTAGTAAGCCCAGCTCATCCCACGTGGCCAACCTGGTCAGATAGGACATCCACCCATGCCCAGGTGCTCACATCCCTCCTCAGCCTCTACACAATATAAGTCCTGTAGAGATGCTTAGGAAACACAGAGAAGGAAAAACAAGAAGATAAACCACCATTTAGGAGCAAAAAAAATGTGGTTAACATTTTGATATCTGTCTATCCTAACTTTTGCATCCCACCACCTGCTTAATGTTACACACTGTGGGCTGAGCAGACAGGGAGGCCAGACGTGGCCCCACCAGGACCTGCAGTGCAGAGGCGAGTGATGATGGGCAGAGCAGGTGTCCCCAAGAAGGTCCCCAGAGACTTTCCAGTGAGTTCATAACCCAGAAATTAAAGTGATATCTTTTGACTTGGCACAGATTTCCAATTTCAATCAGCCTGCTTTGCCAGCCTCCCCATCTGTCCTTCACCCTGTTACCCACCTGCTCACTCTGAGGCTCCCCAGCCTCTCTGGCCTCTCAGCCCTCAGCATGGACTCTCCCTAGGAAGTGACACTAGCCCCTCACCCACTCAGGGACGGTCCTGAGCTTCTCGAAGATTGCCCCCAGCTTTGGATCTCTGATCATCACACTGATTCCGTCAGTCAGGAAGCATTTGCTGGTGCTCTGTTCAACATCTACCTAAGGATACAGAGGACCCCAGCCTCTGGAGGCTCACAGCCTGGCAGGGCAGGTGATTCTTAAACAGTTCTTCACAGCACACTCAGGAAGAGCTATGTCAAGCCACACAAGGGACCCCCTCCATCCAGCTGCCTCTCCCTAAATCCAGGGCTGCCTCTGCACTGCCGGAAATCTCTCCTAGGAGATGGTTCTCAGTAGTGGAAAGGGCATCTCACCACTCCTGTCAATGTTGGGATATTTCAATGTCTTGGAGATGGGTCAGTAAAGCTGATAATGATACCTCAGAGTCTGCATTTACATCTTGCTCTAAATCGACGCATCCTTTTTATGTGTGGTTTTTCTATTACGGTTGTACTTCACTGTTTTAATAGAGATTTCTACTTACATGGGGGGAGGAGCATTACTCAGGAGAGAGGCATACCGTGTTACTCGAGAGAGAGGCAGACTGTGTTAAACCTACAGAAAGCTGAACTGTCCAGACGCCATTGTCGAAGCCCCCCTGTCTCCATGGGGGCTTCTTCCTAGAATCGAAGCTAAGGCGGGTGGATCACAAGGTCAAGAGATTGAGACCATCCTGGTCAACATGGTGAAACCCTGTCTCTACTAAAAATACAAAAATTAGCTGGGCATGGTGGCGCACGCCTGTAGTCCCAGCTACTAGGGAGGCTGAGGCAGGAGAATTGCTTGAACCCAGGAGGCGGAGGTTGCGGTGAGCCGAGAACGCGTCATTGCCCTCCAGCCCTGGTAACAGGAACGAAATTCAAAAAAAAAAAAAAAAAAAAAAAAAAATCAAAGCTAAAGAAAGTTAACTAGATTTGTTATAGCAGGACATCTCAGAGATTTTTTTGATGTGTTAACACAAAATAGTATCATTTTCCCAATTTTATTATCTGGAAATCCCTTTTTTATCCTGGTACACCTATGCTAGCTCTAACAATAGTCTGTTGAACACCAGTTTGGGAAATGCACCAAAAATCCTAAGTCACTCAAGCAAACATAACACATCCTGAATGTATATAAGCATCACTTTGCTGTTACAACTAAACTGATTGTGTCTGATTTTCTTTGTATATTCAAGGAACAAAGGAATTGCTAGTAATAAAACGTATTCCTTTCTTATCACGCTGGAAGTGGATATCGGTGAGCTGGTCATGATCAAGTTCAAGTGGGAAAGCAGCGCAGTGTGGGCCAATGTGTGGAACACGGTCCAGACCATCATCCCGTGGGGCACAAGGCCCCACCACTCGGGCCTCCTTCTGAAGACGATCAGAGTCAAGGCAGGAGAAACCCAGCAAAGGTGACTGCTGTTTCAATCTGCTTTTAACATCTATTAGGCAGCCACTTGTGCCAGGCAGGTTCACAACTGAATACTCATGTTCATCATGTGAAGTATTGTTATGCCCTAGCGAGGGAGTACAGAAACTCAGAAAGGTGAAGTGACTATCCCAACTTTACACAGCCATAGGTGCAACGCCAAGGATTCACACCCAGGTCTTTGGATCCCACAGCAGCATCTCCCCACTGCCCATGGCTGATGCTACCTGCCCCTGGAGGCCGAGAACCTCTGCACTAGCCCGAGGCTTCTCAAACTTCAGTGCAGGTGAATCACCCTGTGACGTCAGCGCTGCCGGTCTGAGGTGCTGTGGTAGATGCAACATCTCTTTTTTGTTCTTTGCCCAAAGAACTGCTTTTAACAGATCACAATCTCAAAAATCCCAATGTATCTCTCTCTTTCTCCCTGTGGTGGTATCTTTCAAATGTCATATGCCAAAGAATTACTGGGAAGCCTAACACATTTGCAGAATTCCTGCACCAACCTGCATAGCTTCTGATTTATGGTGGTCTTGGGAAGGGATCCAGGATGACTGTTGTTAAATAACAGCACTAAGAGATAAGAAATGCTGCTGTGTTTGATTTAACATCCCCCATGGCCCCAAAGTCTCCAGCGATAAGAAGGTGTTGGGGTGGGGAGTAAAGAAAAGGAGGGAAGAGGCAGGGCACGGTGGCTCACACCTGTAATCCCAGCACTTTGGGAGGCTGAGGCAGGCCAGTCACCTGAGGTCAGGAGTTTAAGACCAGCCTGGCCAACACAGTGAAACCAATCCCTACCAAAATACAAAAATTAGCTGGGTGTGGTAGCTTATGCCTGTAATCCCAGCTACTCGGGAGGCTGAGGCAGAAGAATCACTTGAACCCAGGAGACTGAGGTTGCAGTGAGTGGAGATCACGCCACTGCACTCCAGCCTGGGTGACAGAGCAAGACTCTGTCTCAAAAAAGAAAGAAGAAAGAAAGGAATAAATGAAGGAAGGAAGGAAGGAGAAAGAGAAAGAGAGAGAAAGAGGGAAAGAAAGAGAGAGAGAGAAAGAAAGAAAAGAAAGAAAGAAAGAAAGAAAGAAAGAAAGAAAGAAAGAAAGAAAGAAAGAAAGAAAGAAAGAAAGAGAGGAAAGGAAGGAAGGAAGGAAGGAAGGAAGGAAGGAAGGAAGGAAGGAAGGAGGGAAGGAGGGAAGGAAGGAAGGAAGGAAGGAAGGAAGGAAGGAAGGGAGAGAAAAGAAAAAAGAAAAGAAAAGAAAAAAGAGAAAAGACAGGACGATCCAGCGCTCCTGAAATCCTCCCAGTAGAACAAAGGGCTGCCCAACATTCCCTGCCACAGTGACTGTGCTTTTCTGCCATCCATGGTTCTCCATGGCAGAATTCCGGGCTTCCCCGGGCCCTCTCCTCTCTACTCCCTTCTCTATTCAGGACACAGTCTCTCCTCTCCCATCTTCCCTTGTTGCGAACGCCGTGTTTCTCTTTGGCTTGTCCTCACAGAGGGGGAAAACAACAGGCTCCTAATCTCTGAACCACCCCTTGGGTTTCACTGCCAGGAGCCAGACTGTGGCAGATTGATGTCCCCTGGGTCCCTTATACAATCACACTCTCAGATTTTATCTCCCTGGCAATTACTAAGAGCATACTCTGCCTTCTGCCAACAGATCTCCCAACATGATCAATTTGGGAAGATTAAACTGCTCACTCCTCTTCTGCATTGAGCTCTTCTCACACGACTCTTTGGTCCATTAGTGCAGTGCTGCTTCTGAGCTCCGACCCTGCCCACATGCTCTTATTCGGAGAGCAATTCCTGGGTTTGGGTGGCTGCTCACCCTGCCAATCCCATGTGGCTTGAGCTGAAAGGTTGTCTAAAGTACAGCACTACCTTCTCCACTGGGGCACACCCATGTGGTACTGAAGAAGAAATGAGGAGAGGGAGGGGCCTGGCGCTTTCAGGACTCCCACATGTGGTGGGCATTGAACTAGGCGCTCCATGCATTGATCTCACGTGATCTTTGCTGTGATCCTGAAATGGGTAGTACTGGCCGTGCAGAGTAGGAACCGGAAGCTCACAGAAGTTACACAGCTTGAGGACACGGCTCAGAATTGTCCCAGTCCAGATTTGACTGGAGTTTGTCTGATTAATTACCCATTCGTTGGCGGTGGACTATTTCTAACAATTCCTTCTTCCATTAGTTTTGGTTCCAGTAACCTGAATGTTCTCAGTCTAATCTAGCAGAGTTGCGGTGCTGGATATTAACATATACATGCATCAAACCCATCCTTAGGAAGCTGAGGCAGGAGAATCACATGAACCCCCAGGAGGCGGAAGCTGCAGTGAGACAAGTTCTCACCACTGCACTCCAGCCTGAGGGACAGAGTGAGACTCCGTTTCAAAAAAAAAAAAAAAAGGAATGAAAGTACTGGGGCAGCCCTCCTTTGTTCTCCCCTATGACAGCTCATCTAAGGGTTGAGGTTTCAGGGTGACTATTGTTTCCCTGACCACATTTGCCTTGACTTCAGGGCAAACACTTTTAGTTCCTTAACCTTTTCTCCCAAGGCAGTCCTACCTCCCCAGCCTTCCCTCCTTGGACAGGCTCCGGTTTGTCAATGCTATTCTTTTTTTTTGGGGGGGAGATGGAGTCTCACTCTTGTTACCCAGGCTGGAATGCAGTGGTGCAATCTCTGCTCACTGCAACCTCCACCTCCTGCAAACCTTGAAACTTCCAGGTTCAAACAATTCTCCTGTCTCAGCCTCCCGAGTAGCTTGGATTACAGGCGCACGCCAACACCCCTGACTAATTTTTGTATTTTTAGTAGAGATAGGGTTTCACCAGTTTGGTCAGGCTGGTCTCAAACTCCTGACCTCATGATCAGCCCGCCGCAGCCTCCCAAAGTGCTGGGATTATAGGCGTGAGCCACCACACCTGGCCCCTTTCATTCTTACACAACTGAAATCACCCCAGGCAGAACCCCAGGAAGTCTTATACTGATTGCTTTCACTCTCTTGGGTTTTGTTTTTCTCTGAAGTTACAAAAATATTTGCGAAGGCCGAGGCAGGTGGATCACGAGGTCAAGAGACCTAGACCATCCTGGCCAACATGGTGAAACCCCTTCTCTACTAAAAATACAAAAATTAGCTGGGCATGGTGGCATGCGCCTGTAGTCCCAGCCACTCGGGAGGCTGAAGCAGGAGAATTGCTTGAACTCGGGAGGCAGAGGTTGCAGTGAGCCAAGATCACACCACCGCACTCCAGCCTGGCACCTGGCAACAGACAGAGAACCCGTCAAAAAAAAAAAAAAAAGACATTACATAAATTGAATAGAATTTGATAAAAGATGAAACATTTCAATAAGCTCACCTAATACTTAATGCTGTGTTTGCTTTCTGTTTTCTATTCAGAATGACATTTTGCTCAGAAAACACAGATGATCTACAACTTCGCCCAACTCAGGAGAAAATCTTTGTGAAATGTGAATTAAAGTCTAAAATATCAAAGCAAAAGATCAGATGAGATTTAATGAAGACTCAGTGTAAAGAATAAATGAATCTTATTCCTTATCTGGAATGGCTGCATTATTTAGAATCCAAAATTACATAAAGAATCTCACATAAAGTTTAAATAAAATTTAGATTTAAGGGGGATATGTTTCACTCTTACAAGCTGAGCTTTTAAAAACTATGATATAACTATTTTCCAGTATTAGTACAACTAAAAATTTCCCAATTTTATCTCTAGTTAAATGTTAATATATGCAAATCAGTACAAGTGCAAGAGCCATTTTAGGTCTGTTGCTCTAATTTACAATGTCTTTCATAATTAAGTCAAGTTTCCCACATTTCCTTGCTAGTTTATTCTGACCAGTTTTTGAATCATGCTGGAAAGATACTTTTTTATTAGGTAACTAGTGTTCCAATAAAGCAAATTCTAATTAATCACCACTAGTTATGTATACCAAAATACATACCCTTTAAGGCAATATAGATCATAAAAGAAAAATTCTAATTATTCTAATAGTCATACAAATCATATAATCATTTCACAGAACCAAGCACTTAAAAGTAGAATTCTACTAAAACTACTAGTGATAACAGTGAAAGCTGGACAGTTGGTCATTTTAATAATGAAATTACAAATTAAATAAATATAATTATTGTCTCTTACTAATGTTTGCGACTAAAGGCAACAAAAAAACTTGGAATATCTCAAAGAGTTTGCTATGGACTGAAGGTTGGAGTCACCCCAAAATTCATATACTGAAATCTAATCCCCAGTGTGATGGTATTTGGAGGTGGGGCTCTAGGAGGTGATTAGGTCATGAGGCTGCAGCCCTCATAAATGGGATCAGTGCCCTTATAGGGGATAAAGGACCAGAACTCTCTGCCATGTGCAGATACAAGAAGGCAACTACATGCAAACCAGGAAGTAGACCCTCACCAGACTACCAATCTGCTGGCACCTTTATCTTGGACTTCCCAGGTTCCAGAACAGTAAGAAATAAATGTTTCTTGTTTAAGGCATCCAGCCTATGGCAATTTGCTATAGAAGCCTGAACTGACTGAGAGAGTTAGATGTCAAATTTCAAACTGTCCAATAAGTGAAATAATAATGTTTTGATCACCAGATTCTATCACAAAGCACATGGTGACAATGGGCACTAAATATGGTAATCAGTTAGATATGTGTTTTACATAACTCAGAGAGAGGAACATGCTATGCACATTAAACAACCTAACCTAACATGCACATCGGCTCAGCTCTGTAGAGCCCATAATTCATGTTCCCTTCACCAAAGCAGGGTAAATGGGGGCTCATGAAAACAAAAATCCTGGAAAGATGTCTGCCTCTGACTAATCAATTTAAAATTAACTTGCATGATTCACTTTTATTTCCCTTTGAAAGACCTAGAAATCTAAAAAGTTTAGGGTGGAGGGATAGGAAGAAAAGCTGGTCCAAGTTTCCAAATGAAGCATTCTGTCCTGCAAAAGTATTTGTCCCCACTTTTAGAGAACGTGCTTGAATATGTGTCTAAAATTGATAGATACTAAAATGAACAATATTTTCCATTATGTCTAAAATACTAAGGTTTACAATAAAATGTTTGTGCTGGATTGCCAGGTTTTATCATTAACAATCCAGAAGAAATTTAAAATATCACTTTCAATACATAACAGGGAAACACTCTTTGCTATATACACAACAGAGTCCATGCATATGTATTCCAGGAGACATGTATGTGAGCCTTGACATCATCACAACCAGAAACAGCCCAAATGTCTGCCAGTACAATGCAGAAATGAACTGGGGTATAGTCTTGCTAATGGATTGTCATACAGCCGTAAGAAAAATGAACCGGGCCAGGCGCGGTGGCTCACGCCTATAATCCCAGCACTTTGGGAGGCTGAGGTGGGCGGATCATGAGGTCAAGAGATCGAGACCATCCTGGCCAATATGGTGAAACCCTATCTCTACTAAAAATACAAAAATTAGCTGGGCGTGTGGCACGTGCCTGAAGTCCCTGTTACTCGGGAGGCTGAGGCAGGAGAATTGCTTGAACCCGGGAGGCGGAGGTTGTAGTGAGCCGAGATTGCGCCACTGCACTCCAGTCTGGTGCCTGGCGATGGAGTGAGACTCTGTCTCAAAAAAAAAAAGATGAACCAAAGCTATACACACATAAGAACAGAGCTGGGGCCAGCATGAGGCAGCAGTGCATCTAAGGAGCAACATTTAAGGAAGCACTCATGCATTTTGCCTTCGCACAAAGATGTAAAAAATAGATAGAGTATAATACAAACAAAACCAACCTATATTGTTAGGGATGGGTAAACAGGTGGTAAAACTCTAAATAAAAGCAATAACAGGCCGGATGCAGTGGCTCACACCTGTAATCCCAACACTTTGGGAGGCCAAGGCAGGCAGATCACTTGAGATCAGGGGTTCAAGACCAGCCTGGCCAACAAGGTGAAACCCTATCTCTACTAAAAATACCAAAATTAGCCAGGCGTGGTGCACACCTGCAATCCCAGCTATTTGGGAGGCTGAGGCACGAGAATCCCTTGAACCCAGGAGGCAGAGGTTGCAGTGATCTGAGATCTTGACATTGCACTCCAGCCTGAGCAATGAGACTCTGTCTTAAAAACCAGAGAGAAAAGGAAGCAAAACCAAATCACCATCACAAAAGTGAGGCTGTGATAATCCCAGGAAAGAGGAAGGGCACCCTGCAGTTCCAGGCGCTGGCAAAAGTCTACTTCTTACTCCAGGTGGTGGGTACACACACATTCACTGATTTAATCGTTCCATTCCATCCACATTTCATGCACTTTTAGTATGAATGTCACCTTTCACAATGTGAAAAAAAAAGTGAAAATAAAGGGCAGAGTTCAAGAAACATGTTTCTATTATAGTGTGATATGTTTCAAAAGTAACAGTTTCACAAGCAATATAATTAGAAATTATTTCATCTGTAGTAAGAAAACTTGAAGTGCCACAATACATGGTAACATTTTGGGCAGAGAATTCAGCAAGCATCCAACATGAGGAGTAGTTCACTGGAACGTCTGAAACTCCTCGTGGCGTGTCCAAATCTGGTTGCCAATTCTGTTGCCGGTGGATTATTTTCACTTACATGGATGTGTTCATCGACATCACATTTTCTTAAGTATATTCAAGTAGGGAAGTCAAACTGGGAAACTGAATAATGCAGCCACATCTGTTCGTTGCACATGCAAAATGCTGGCTCGTGAACTGATTATACACACCTCTCTCCAACGAATCTGCATTTATGAGCCCACTCAGGAAAGATAACACTAGCATTTTGCCTTTCAGGCAAAAGCTCATTTGTGCTTCTGCGTGTAAGAGAGCACTGGGAAAGAAATGGAATGTTGATTACACTGCAGCTGGGCTCTTTGAGGTGAGTAAGTCAGAGAGAAGGAAACAAGCACTCCATTCACATTAAAATGAATGCACTCTGCTGCATCGCAAAGCTCCCTGTCCTCAAGGTTCACCTGCAGTCATGCTGGTCGCAAATATTGCAAAGGCTTTTATTGCAGTACATGTCTGTGGGGTGGCAAGGCAAGGGGCAAAGCTGCCCAGTGCTGTGCTTGCACTCTCACAGAGGCTGGACTAGAGGAAAGGCAGAGGGATGGAAAACAGACAACAAGACGAAAACTAAAGAAAGTCAATCCCCAAAGTGAACATTTACTGGCTAAACTTTTCTTATAATACATATTTCTACTTGAATCCCAATGATCTATACATGAGTAATGGCTCCCAACTCATCTCATTCTCTCCTTTCTCTTAACCCTTCCTCCTTTTCTTTTCTCCTCTGGAGTTTCTCTGCCTAACCAAGTCCTATTTATCTACCCAGGCTCAGTTATTTTCACTAGCTGCCTCCTAGCCCGGCCAGCCCACAGAGACCTTTCTGTCTTCTAAGCACCTGGCAGTCATGTAAGTGATGCTCTCCGCTCTCCACTTGGCCCTTAGGTTTTTGTGCCCCACGGATTACCCTCCAACCTCCCAGCCTCCTCCCAACCGCCACGCTGCTCCCTGCCCTCCATTCAACAATTCCAGGGAATCCCAGGTCTCCTGTCCTGCTCACATGGTTCTCTCTTTATAGGCAATCTCACTCACTCCTATGGCTTTATTTATGACCAACCACATAGGACAACCATACTCACTTTAGAGCTCCAGCCTGGGCCTTCTCTCCAGAGCCTTATTCCCACATATTATGCAATTGTCCACTCAACAGTTCCCCCTATGTCCTCTCTTCCTGAGTCCAGAAATGAACGCATGCTGTTTCTTGCCCCTGCAACCTACCCATCCCTATTCTCTCTGTCATCTGTCTCCTTGAATGTCTTTACCACCCACCCAGTTGCGGCTGCTGGACTCTGAAGAGTCATCCATCATGCGTCCTCCCGTTTGGCCCCTCACAATCCAACAATCACCACATCCCACGATCTCTACTCTTATTTCTTAAGCGCGTCTATGTCTCTCCACCTCTGCTGCCATCAACCCAGCCCAGGGCAAACTATCGCTTACCGAGACTCGAAACAACTTTCCAACTCGTCCCCCAGACCCTCTCCCTTTCAATCCCTTCCCCCCACAGTGACCAGAGTGACCTTTAAAAAAAAAAAAAATATATATATATATATATATATGTCCTTTTTCTGCAACAAGCCCTCCCAATGACCTCCCACATTTTTTTTGGAAAAAGTCCAAAACAATTACCCTGGTCCTCAAGACCCCCAGTCAAGCCCCTACTTTTCTTCCCAGTCTTGCCTCCCACTACTCTCTCTCTGTCTCTCACTCACTAGGCCATTGTCCAGCTCCACCCACGGCGTCTCCACCCAGCCTGCACTTTATTTTTTATTTTTATTTATTGTGTGTATATTGGAGATGAAGTCTCACTCTGTCACCCAGGCTGGAGTGCAGTGGTGCAATCATAGTCATTGCAGCCTTGACTTCCTGGGGCTCAAGCAATCCTCCCACCTGATCCTCCCGAGTATCTGGGACTACAGGGGCACACTGCCACATCGGGCTAATTCCTAAATCTTCTCTAGAG